TTTTTTTTTTTTTTTTTTTTTTTTTTTTTTTTTTTTTTTTTTTTTGTTTGAAAACAATAAATTAGATAGGCGGGCTGGTTGGAAGTATTATTCCCTTGTACTCTTAAAAATCATGAAAAGTTACATGAATATAATTAATAAAGTATCTCCAGAAAATAATTTCCAATACTTTGGAAAAGTTAAATTTTTTGTAATGAAAGACAAAGGTTGAAATCAATTTTCTTTGACTGGTAAAATGTGACTACAACCAACGAAGTGAAATTCGTGCGATTTCGGCCCTTGTGGTGCCAAGAAATTGGAGAACAGCTAACCAGCCTCCCTCTTCCCCATATATTTATATAAACATATATGTATATTCTTCGTAAAATTACCAAAATGGCCGATTGGTCGCTGCTGTTTTGAACGACGATTACTTTGTACGATCCATCATCGACGAAACCCTTCGTATCCGAAAACGGTAAACTCGGCGTCAAAACAGTGAGATAACTACATATGGAGGCCGAGTACACGTTCCAGATGACGAGCGTGAGCAGCATCACCGTGACATAAACCAAACGCAACGGTATCTCCGATGGCAGATCTAGAATATCGAAAAAAATCAACGTTTATCTTCACCTTCGAATCAACCCCAAACGCGACACGATCGAAAAGCTCGTAATAGTACACAGTGGGTGTATAGCAAACCTGGCACTCCCTGTTGGCAGTAAATGCCCCAGATGCGGATGAAATTTTCCAGCACGTAATTCATGGACTTTCGCGCGAGCTTCGACTTTTCGAGCATTGCCCTGATGTAGGCCGTCAACAGCGACGAGACAACCAACGTCGTCGCTATACTACCCCACGACGAAATACTGAACGCCTGAAAATGTGAAACCTGGATTTTCAGAAGAAGAAGAAGAAGAAGAAGAAGAAGAAGAAGAAGAAGAGAAAAAAAAGGTACATGTATGAATGTACCGACCTGGAAATACGCGGACCACGGCACCCGGGCGCCGAGCGGCTGTTTGATGTACAACCGGTTGGACGAGAGTATCAAGGGTTTGCTAAAGTCCACGTAGTCCATGCGATACTTGGTAATGGTGACAGGTGCCACGACCAGATCGACTTCGCCGTCGCTCAGGTGACCGATGAGGCCTGACCACGTGTCGTTGGTCGGGTCGTATTTCCCGAAGGCGTCCGTTTCGTAGACATTGGTGAGGGTGAAGTTCATGAAGCTCTGGAGCTCCCGGAACAAGTCGTTGAAGAAACCGTACATCTTTGCCGACGTGTCCGAGGTCGAGTTGGTCGGCTGCGTAGCGAGTGAAAAAACAAAACTGTGAATGACCTTGTTTCGACTCGGTTGGAAGACGTCCGTTTACCGTAGCGACCCTGATGACCTTGCCGCTGAGGTCGAACCGGCTCTCGTAGTAGTTCTGGTTCTCGAAGATGACGTTGCGGTCCTTGTCCCACTTGGCGAGTTCGAGGACCTCGGTGCGATTCCTGTAGATCGAGTACCACTTGTAAATGGTGAGGTCGGCGTGACAGAGCACGATCATCCTCGAGTTGAAGTACAGGTGGAAGGGATTGCCCGTGGGCTGGTAGCAGAGGCCGTTCATCCGGTCGCCGATGAAGACGGCGAGCCACGTGTGGTAGGACATGTCGTAGCCTTGGGTTGCCCTCCTGTAATTCTCGTACACCCTCTCCGAGGTGAGAAACGCGACGAACAGCGACTCGGCGTGCACCGATATGTCGTAATCCGCTTTCTCCTCGACTCTCGAGTAGTGGAGGGCCTGGGTGGGTATCAACCGGTTGGAGAAGCCCCGCAGGAAACCGGCAATGTTGGTCTGCATCTCGAGCTCATCTGCAACAAACCTTTTGTTTCCTATGCTCATCCGCACGTATAATAGCGATATAGCTCGTCCACACCTTCGACGTTGTCGTCGTAGAGTATGGAGATACCCGAGATTTTGTAGTACTCCTGGAGATCGGCCAGAAAGGGCATGTAGTAGTTGGAATCGATGAGCACGGCCCTGCAGTTGCCGATCGTAAAGACGAGCATGATGGTGGCGTGGCGACAGAGGAACCTCACCATATTGGTGGACGAGCTGCGGTGCTACTGCTCTGGCATTCTCGTGGACTCGAGCTGGAAAACGGCAATTGGAGCTGTTGGAGCTTTTGTTGTTAACGTACGATGGTGAAATATTTCCATGAAAAATTATTCGCGCGGGTTTCGATCGACTCGAATGGCAAATTATACACGGCGATCGACTGGATTTTTTTGCGTGATTTACAGCTCTCGTATCCGTTCGTTGATTTTATATGCGCTGATGCGACACTTTGAAGGGTTTTGCGGAAAAGTACGCGAGTGATTATTTTTATAGCTGATTCGGAGTACCGATAATCTCGGCGTAGCAGCAGTGGATCGTTTATTAACGCATCAGTGACAATTTAGATTTCGTTTGATCTCGATAGGAGCTCATCGATTATTCACGTTGAAATATTAGTGATTGCACCCGCACGTTTTATTGAGAGTCTCAATGTTATTTAGAGTTACAGTGTATGCGCAGTCAAAACGATACGGCAAAATTTTAAAAAATCGGTAACATGTACAAGAAAAAAATTCACATCGCAACAGTTTTTATTTTTTTAAATTTATTTATTTACTCTTTTATATAGTATGTTAATTTTGACGCGAGAACATGATATCAAAGAACGATGGTGGTACTTACTTGTACTTTTCGCTGGACTGAGCATCGCAAATTCCAGCAGCTCTCGGGTTGCGTGAAAATTTGCTTTTCGTCTCCCCGGAGCTGTCGTTTTTAACGATGGTGAGCGAAAACAAACTTTATGTTTATATATTTACCCGCTAATGAAATTTATCAAGCCTGCGTGGCTGCTCTTCTTTTTTTTATCGGCATGACTATATATCGATCCTGTCCGAGTTAATGAACACGCGATACAATTGGTTGGCAGTTCACAAAGTGCTTCATACGCCGTCACTTGAAAATGTGAAGCGGCTCCGTCCATACGTGTGAGTAACATTTATTTTTACCGATTTTTTCTGGTTTTTTAATTAAAAAAAAATAATAATAAACATTTATCAGTCGTTATTAGGTTCAAATTCAGGCGTTATTTAAATACTTTTTGCCCGAATATTCTTATCTTTACCGTTAAAATAATACATCCAGACCATCCAATACTTGCACGCGCATACTTTTCCATTTTTTTTTAATGTGATTCATTATTAGCGCTAAAAAAATTACTAATTAATACTGTTTATAAAAAAGTACGTTACAATATTTTAGCAGTAATTACAATGTATTGCAATTAAAAAGAAACTACAATTTAGACGAATGAAAAAAGAGTCAAAGTATTAAAAAAAAAAAAATTTTATTTTTATTTCAAACACTTTTGAATAAACATTAATATCTAAAATGTATTGCACTTACCTGCCAGAATTTTTTTTTTTACATTTTATTGTAAATAGTGATAAAAAAAAAATTTTCAGCACAAAGAATGCACTTTATTCAGAAAAAAAACTTTCTTTAAAAGTTAAAAAAAAAATCTATTAAATTGCCCAAGTCTGAATGTATCTCTTTTTTTGCCAACAGCTATTGCTATATTTAACAAAACTATGTAGTTCTTATCTTAAAAAACTCGGACGTTAAAATAGTGTATTATTATCGCCTGCTCAAGGGTCGCACTCTTTTTAGGAAAACCATTAATCATCCATGAATTTTTTAAGAACCAAACCAGTAAGTCTGCCGTTCCCTGACTTGACACTTTTTTAACGCTGTACTTTGTACCGTAGGTAAATATTATGTGTTTGACTACTCCTTCCAACCCCCCGCCAAAAAAAAAAAAAAAAAATGTTCGACCGAGTCAGTTGTAATTCGAAGCGTGACTTGACGCTCAAAGTTTTATTTATAATACGTTCACGAGTACGTTTCGTTGGTTCCCCTACTAAAAAAATTTTACAATAACAAAAAAAAAACTACTCGTACATTGATGTGCATTTATAGCAATGTGCCAACTGATTTTTGTTAAAAAAAAGACAACAACATAGTTTTTTTTATATTTTGCAGTAGATCTTATCCACCCTGATTTAAACGACGTAAGTAACCATTGTTATTTAGGTTGATTTTTCTCAAGATTATCCGGGCACATGTATAAAATAATTTTGGTAAACCATATAGATTGAGAATCAAACGTAGGTGTTGATTGAATTTATTAGCTTTCTTTTTGTACCGAGTATAACCAAGTCAACAGGTATATTATTATAGTCATCATCACAAGTAACAATGAGTTTGAAAGGTTGATTATAATTACACCTTGCGATGATGAATAGTTTTTAAATAAGCAATGTACAACAAGTTATCCTTGTACTCTGCTATGTTGACCTCGTCCAGGGCTTTCCTCTCAACCATTTTTTTCTTAGAAATTGTCGCGGTCTTACGACTTCTCCACTCCAAGTTGGCCTTGTGAGCAAACACTTCGCAGCACAGTATCATCAAACTGCAGGTGAAACCGATCGAGAGAACGAGAAAAATGAAAATGACGCTGGCTATGTTCATGGGCTTGTACTTCTTGTCCCGATTGTACACCTTGCGGTACACTTGGGAGCGCAGTCGTTTTATCAAGCCGTTATCTATAAACTTCAATAGGCTGCAATCGATCGATCGCACATTAGATCGTGTGTCTCTCAACGTGACGAAGGTCATGTGTTATCTTTGACTTTGAACTCACTAGTAATTAATCAAGCCCTTGTAAGGACTCCTTTTTCTCATGGTAATGGAGAAGCAACCGATTCTTTTGGTGTCCAGAGGAATCACGTCGCACGGTATTTTGTAATGGGCGAGATTCTTGACGTGGCCGGTCGTAAAAAAGGCATTCTTACCCTCGCACACCTGGCAAATTTTTGGATTTTTTTTTTTTTTTTTTTTTCCCCGGTATACATAAACGTGGAGATGATCGCTCTTACACGCAAGTACTTACGCGCTGGAAGCCCACTTCTTTCGACAGTGGCTGTGAGTTAGACTCCGGCATCAACGTCCTGATCTTTTCCATCTCCTCGTTCGTCGAAGTCTGCAATGGCAATCACGACGAGTCGTCAGAGAAATACAATTACGTTATTTTTTTCCTGTCAGTTAATAATACCTGAAAGAACTCGTAATCCGCGCTTTCTCTCAAAGTCAGCACTTTGTAAGAACCGTCATTGGCCAGTCCCTTCAAATCGCTAAACGGCAAACTAGGACGAGTCACGGCCAAGTAACTAATCAAACCTGTTGAAATCAGTGCGTAAATTTCAATAGTACAGGTACATTGAAGATCATTTGATTTTTTGAACGTTTATTCGCTTACAGGCGGAGTAGATCGCCGTGAGTAATGCAGCCTCGAGGAGCACCACATAGTACGCTATTCTTACCGATGTTTCTTTCGGCAGTTCTATTTTTTTAAACAAAAAGCCATTTTTCATGCAATCCTCGTATCGTTAAACTCATTTGATGTGATGAATGTACCTGGTAAGCCCTGTTGCCACAGTATTCCCCAGATGGAGAGAAAATTTTCCGAAACGTGGCCGTAAGGCAGCGATTTTCCCTTGATGATGAGTCTAAGAATCGTTACCACGAGCGATGCCATGATGTACGTGAACTTAATGGACAGCCAAACGTTTATGTGGTACACCTGTTATGATCAACAAAAATTACGAAGGGGAGAAAAGACACGCATCCACATTAGCAGTGAAGTTGTAGATCACCTTGAAGTACGAGTACAAATTCATGGCCGATCCGTCGGGCTGTTGCACGTAGATTTTGCTGCGCGATATCATGATGGGAAAACTAAAATCAATGACTCCGAGGCGGTTCTCGGTCATCGTGAACTCGGACGCGCCGAGCTCGACTTCGCCCCTCTCCAACCTACCGATCGCCCCCGTCCATTTGTTCTCGCTCTTGTTATACGTGCCACCAAATTTCTCGGTGCACGTGAAATTCAGGGTGAAATTCAGGGATTTGCTCAACTCATTGAGCACCGACGAGTAGAAGTTGTGGTTGTAGTGCGACCCGTTCTCCGGGACTTTCTGGAAACAGTGTGAAATCGCTCCCTACATAAATATGATGTGACGCTACGGAACGAACATGTATATATGTATGTTATAGCTGCCAAGGATTACCCCGACCGTGACGACGGACAAGCTCATGCCCCCGAGGTTGTTCCTCCTCTCGTAGAAGCTCTTTTTCGACATGAGCCGCAGCCCGCGCTCCGGGGTCCAAGTGATCAGTTCGTAAATGCTCGTCTCGTTGAATCTGACCGAGTACCACTCGCGGACGGTCGGGTCGTTGTAACACTTGACCAGCATTTCGGTGTCGAAGGCCAGATTGAACGAGTTCCCCGAGGGCCGGTAGCACATCCTCGATGTCTCGCTCGTGAAAACGAGGAGCCAACTCGGGTAGGACATGTCGTAACTGCCGGTCATGCGCTGGAACATGTGCAGCTCCTGGTACGAGGTGATCAGTACGACAAACAGAGGCTTGGTCGTGTGCTGGCGGTAGCTTTTGTGGTGTCGCAATACGTCGCTGTAGTTGAGGGTCAGGGACGGCACGAATTTGCTCGAAAACTTGCGCAGCAAAAGTTGCATGAGGGACGTCGTGTTGAGACCTACGAGATATCATAAAAGCGGGTGCGGGTGATTAGGAAGCGCGGAATATGTATATTTTACCTCTGGGTCTTACTTTGGTCGTCCCCGGCGTAGACGATGACGACACTGGACGCCTTGGTGTGCTCCTGCACGTCGGACACGAAAAGCACGAGGTCGTCGTTGAAGTAGACGCCGGCGACGGTTCCGGCACCCCAGCACATCAGGAGCACCGTGACAATCGTGCGCATCGTTGTGGTCATCTCGACTCCTTTCGTCCGTTTAGGGGGTTCCAACGAGTATGTGCGCCCCCGTCGAGCGCCGAATGCGCCGAGAATCGCCCGGTCCTCGTGAATTTTTAACGAAAGGGTAACACACCGACATCGCTCCATCTGCTCCACTTCCTCACGACTTCTGGGCGCGTTGATCGTCAACGTGATTTCTCCTCGATAGGCCATCAAGTGTGTGTGTGTGTGTTACATAAACGTGGCCCTATACGATTTTCGGCCGATCAAAGTAAAAGTCATCAAACAAGATACACACAAGTTACGTATATACATGTACGTCCGTACCTCGCGTGTTTAACTTGTTTCTCAATATTTTTTTTTTTTCTTTTTTATTTTCGTTTATTTAAGGTCACACCTTGGTCGAAACTGTAGACATATTACGGACTGGGCACGTCCATCGAATACGAAACCAGAGTAATCATCTTCCTACTTTGGGACGGCATGCAAAGTGTAACGAGCAGTTGCAGTCGTAAACAATTTCTTTGAAAAATTTCCCCCTCCCTGGTAGTTCACCTTTTTATATCATATATCTATTATTCTGTTGGACATTCTCGTCATGCTTGTATTATTACGATGCGTGGGGTGTCGATGACAGGGAACTTTTAATCGATAAGACTTTACAGGGTTGAGAAAAAAAAAACAACAAAACAATTTTTAGGATCATTTTAGGATTAGATACATGAACTATATCCTTTCGATAACAATAATAACAACAATAACAGTGTGACGAATTATGGATCACATGATTATATTTATTTAAGTTTTTAAATATAATGTACAGAATGATAATGACAATAAACAATTAATTAAAGTGCCACATTGGTTTTTACGGTGATATTTGTTGTGCACAAACGCAAGGATACTTTGGAAAATATAAAAAACTGTGATTAGAAATTACGATTAAAAATAATCGGATTTCTAGTGATAATTAACGAACATTTTATTACTCGAAAAAGACACAATTGAATTAGAAATTGCGATTGCTGGTAATATTCGGATTCTTGGTGATAATTATGCTTTTGTAAAACTCTGAAAGCCTACGATTCTGTCTCGCCGTTATAATCTTGTGCGCTATACGTTCGAAAAAAAGGATGACGATACTACTGGTGAAACCAAAACCAAAGACGCAAAGAACGGGAACGACATTTTTTATGTCCACCGGGTTGTACTGGTTATCCGGTTCGTAATCTGTTTTGTACAGTTGCATCTTCAACCGACTGATTATACCAAAGCTTCTAAACTTGAGTAATCTGTGGGGTCCAAGGGTTAAATCTAGTATTTATTTTGTACTAAATTCTTTTCGTAAGCATAAAAATCTTGCGCACTTACATATCATTGAATAATCCTCTGTATCCGGATCGTTTTTTCAGAATAAAAGTTAAACTGTCCATTCTGCCAGTTCTAATCGCAACCAAATTACATTTGATTTGGGAGAGATCCCGTAACTTTATGGCAACGGTTGAGTAAAAGGCTATCTTTTTGTCTTTGCAAACCTTCATGGAACAATAGTTTATACGTTGTATAATGAATCTTCAAGATTTCACTGTTTATCATACATAGTACCTACTTACATACCTGGTTAAAACCGTAAATTTGAGAATGCGGTAGATCCTTTAGATCCGGAACAGTCCGCTGTAGTTTTTTCATCGTTGAATCTTCCGACGTCTACAATGACACATTTTTATTTAATCATATTTATTTTGTCAGGCCATTAAAACATGTAATTTCCAGTTATTACGTTTATAAAATCATAGTGGGGAGATCCACGTACGGCCATCAATCTGTAAGTGCCATCGTTGGCCAATCCTTCAATGTCACTGAATGGCAATGATGAGGTTGTAACCGCGAGGTAACTCGTTAGGCATGTTGAATAAAGAGTGTAGACTAACAAGGCCTCGAAAAGCACGGTGATACAAACCAATTTTGTCGAGGTTTCTTTTGGAAATACTTTTAAAAAAGTACCATTTTTGTAATAAGTGAATACATGCGGTTTTTATTGTTAATGACTAAATTGGTACACATTTTTCAAAGCCGTACCTGATAATGCATTCAGACATAATACACTCCACATTTCAAGGACGTTGTCAGAGACGTAATTGGGTTGCAAACGTTTTTTCTTGTAATACGAGTGACACGCCATTGCACAAGACATCAACAATATTGAAAATATGAGAGATATGAGGATTTTTATCCAAGCTTCGACTGAGTATACCTTAAAATATACAATAAAGCATCAAATTATCGTAAAAATTTATGACATGATACCCATAAGATTATATAATACATATATATCATACGTATACCTTTAAATATGCCGACCAATGTAAAGCCGAATCGACAGGTTGACGAATAAAAATTTTGGAGCTTGACATTAAAAAAGGTAGGGTAAATTCAACGATTTTTAGACGATGATGAGTCATGATGTACGTGGTAATGCTCATGTCAACTTCTCTGCGCTCAAGTCTGCCAAACGCTCCGGTGTATTGGCCCGAGGATTCGTTGTAAAAACCTTGAAACTTTTCGTAAGCAGCAATTTTTATCCTAAAATTTAGTACTCGGCTCATTTCGCAGAAGATCGAACCCTGCATTTAATTCAAAAGTCTTTAAAAAGCCATCGACACAATGGTATTTTTAAATTGGTAAATTCTTACGGAAAGTCCAGATAAATGACAAGTCCTTTTACTTGCGGTCAGTGATTTGTTCTACAGTGAATTTGGTAAAAAATAAAATGAAAACCATCGAGTTTTATATAATTTCGAAGCTATGGTTGCAAAATCTCACCCCAACAATAACGACGCTAACATCTTTTCCACCCAGATTTTTTCTCCTCCTGTATTTGCTTCGACTCTGTTGCCACTTTAACTTGTTCTTGGGATCCCACCTTGCCAAGTCTGATATGACTATCTCGTTGTGCCGTAAAGAGTACCACTCCCGAATCATAGGGTCATCGTGGCACTTTACCCACAACTTTGTGTCAAAGTGGAGATCGATGTAATCGTCCAAAGACCGATGGCACGTGTTTATTGTCTCATTCGTGAAAATGACGAACCAAGTCGCATGTGACAGGTAAACAGTTTTATTCAACTTTTTGTACCACTGGAGATCTCGATGTGAGGTGACGAGTACGATGACAAGGGACTTGTGGGTGCGATACTCATAAGTTTTATGGTACAGTGTGACATCGTTGTAATCAAGCATAAGCACAGGTTCCAATTCGCTGGAAAACTTGCACAAGAATTTTTGCATCAGGACTTTCGTATTGAAACCTGTAAGATCGTATATGCATCATCTATTAATTCATGAAAAAGATAATAAACGAGGAAATCGTATTGCCTTACTTTCGTTATCTTGGGAATACAGTACGAGTACGCTTGATACCATGTAGGATTTTTTCACGTCAAGAACAAGATTGACAATGTCATTGAAGTCGCTTTTGTTGACAAATACCCCCGTGACGCTAACAGCGCCCCAGCACGAGAGCAGCATTTTAATGAAGAAAATTATCGAGCTCGTTGACATTTTTTCGAGTTCTTCTTCGTACTTTGTACTCTCGGTTTTTTACTCAACTTGATCTTATCCCTTCGAATGTTCCAGTCAATCTGACAGTCGAGTATCAAACGTATCACAAACCATCTGACCCTCGATTTTTCACCAAAGAAAATGCATCGCCGTTACTGTATTCGATCTCACATATTCCTCCGCATACGCATTTATATTTCAACGTGTTGTTTCACAACACTATTTCTGAAAAACACGCAAATCATGCCTCTACTACTGTTTCTGTAGTGACGAAGGACATAAAGTTATCCGTCATGCCATGNGCCAATTCTTACCGTAATAATCACAGCAGTGATACCTATGCCCTCCAAATTATTTCTTCTCCTATATCTACTTCGACTTTTTTGCCATTTAAAGCCATTTTCCGTATCCCACGTGGCCAATTCCGACACAATCGTTTCATTTTCCCGCAATGAGTACCACTCCCGAATGACGGGGTCACCGTGACATTTGACCAACAGTTTAGTATCGAATAACAGATTGAAGTAGTTGCCCGAAGGACGATGGCAAGTGTCGATGGTCGTTCCGGTGAAAATGACAAGCCACGCCGCATAAGACATCTACTACTGTTTCTGTAGTGACGAAGGACATAAAGTTATCCGTCATGCCATGAATATTTGTGTTTCTGCATTCAGAATTTTGTTATTCGTTTCTTGATTTGATTTTTTCAAACTATAAGGTACCAATGAACGAATTTTAGGGCATGTCATCGATGTGTTACTGCGACCTCGAAAGGAAAAAAGAGCATATTGACAAAAAGTAATACTTGTATTTGCATGTACTTTGTATACATGTTTATTTTAAGTGGGAAAGCCATCAGACCTCGAGAGTAAAAAAAAAAAGGTTTTTTTTCAATTGTTTAAGAAATTGTCCTTTTTATTTTACTCTGTTTCAAATTAAATCATCAATGGTATTCCATAACATTTGCAGCAAGAAAGAGTTAGTTGATCTTATGAATTCTCGCATGGTACGAATTTAAAAATATACTGTTGAATTGAATTTGCAAAAAAAATTGTAGTTTTTTCAGTATTTGTGTGTTTTATGACGTGTGTTGCAATCAATATGATCAATAGAGCTTTCGAAAATTTTTGGATTACTTTGATATTAATATTGACATTCGTATCGATTGATTCTTTATTTACTCCTTCACAAATCGTACAGAATATAACTACAATACTCACAATAACAATAACAATAATAATAATAGTAACAAAAAATATTGCTGATAACTATAAAATTAATGAAGTATAGTGAATTCAGTAGATTATTGGGCTGGTTTTAATATACTAAAAGTTACTACACACAAGCTACTTATGACTTATGATTCAGAAAACAGATGTAGCATACTAGTACTTGCGATTGCTGATAATATTCGGATTCTTGGTGATAATTATGCTTTTGTAAAACTCTGAAAGCCT